TGAATCACTGTCGTCCCAGGGGGGCAATCGTTTTGACCCTGCAAAGGGTATGGCTGGATCGGTTGCCCTATCGGTCTTGCGTGGTCCCCTTGCACCAGGTGGCAGGCCAAGAGCATCTAGATCAGGCGCTCCCTTGGGCTGGGGCCTTGTGCTTGGCTTTGACACCCTTGCTTGTTGCAGTTTGATGGCGAGCATTGGCGAACTCACCCCCGCCCCCTTTGTTTGGGGGACGCCTGTTGGTGTTTTTGGGAAGCCAAAGGGAAACAACGAGTATCTAGTGGTTTCAACATTTTCAGACGCAGACAGGTGGCAAATGCAGGGGTCCATGATTTGGCAGCCCAAGCTGGATTGCGCTTCTTCCGCGCAATGATGGATTCCGCGCGTCGGAGCTCTTTCCAATATCCTTTTTGGGATTGCGTGGAACACCATGTAAACACAAGGCCAACGGGCCAAAAGGAGGTGAACCACTTGAGCCACTGCCGGCTGGATCTGCTGGATAAAGAGGCGTCCATATTCCCCTTTGAAGCACGACTAAGGCAGCAGATAAATAGATCTCCGAAGCTTTGCCACTACCCCCTTGTATTGAGATATTTTGAGCTGTCTAGAGCCAACCCACGCGCATTTCTGCGTTTGCTCCCCCTTCATTACCTGAGATGCAAGCATGATGCACCTTTTATTCCAAAGCTTGTGTGAAGCACATGCTTCAGCCCTTCAGCCCATACCACTTCCGTGCGTGGAAGGCTAAACCGGACTGAGGCCTTGCTACCTGAAGGCTTGCTTCAGGGTGACCCCCCAGAGGCCAAGCCGGAGAAGCTTCATGGAGTTTGGTAGTTGGAACCTGGGATTGGTATGGATTGGTCACCAAGCGTAGGGTCTTGAAGAAAAGGTGCCCCAATTGAGAATGAATCTGTATGAATCCGCCGTCAACACATGTCAAAACATCCCATTTATTCATGGTTGACAAGTCCAGGTCCGGCATTCGTTTGGCCCCTGTGCAGTCACCTGCTGCATGGAATTTCAGCGGATGTTTCACCAGCGCTAAGTCCACCAAGCGACGAATCACTCGCAACCGAACGGCAAACGCCCATCACTTTCCCAAACCGAGTGTTTGTCCTGTTTGTTTTGTTTGTTTCCTTCACGTTGGGCCAATCGATCATCCATGTTTCCTATGTTGGTCCCATATCTTCCGACGGTTTCCATGTTCATGTCAATTGCTTCACCTTTGGGCAATGGAGCCGTTCTGCGCAGTTGTTTGGTGGAGCCGCTCGCGTTCCGCGAACGTTCCGCCATGGCGGGTTTCACATGGGCAGGGATCCGGGGCGGGATCCTTTACAAAAGCGCGGGATGCTCTGGGTGGGCAACCTTGAAGCCATTTGGGTTGAGACTAAGCCATGCTTGGGGACTCTTTGAAGCTTTGGACATGTACATGGCAGCTCTGTGTCAAATGGGTGTTCAGGGGAGAAACAACTCCTAGAGGCCAGCGTTCACAGAACCTGGCCATTTGACTGCAAAGCCCAGCCTTGCCTTTCTGGGCTGGCTTCTTGTTTGACACCCAAAGTCATGCAGCTGTCGGGTTGAGTATCGTCTAACATGTTCCAGGCTGCTTTAGTGCCCATTGCAGTTGCACATCCTTGCTCGCAAGTGACCCGAAGGGTGGTTTTTGCTTTACTGAGTAAAAACAGAGGGAGTTAAATAATGTTGGCTCGGGGTATGGGACTCAGATTTTTCACAGTATGTCTTGCAGAAGGTTTCCACTTAACCCCCACCCAAGGTCGTAGGGAGGGGCCCTGGAATTAGAAACTTCGGCGGATCGCAGGAGGTTCCTCACATTTGGCTGTTGGTCAGCGCCTGTATTTCTGAATGTCCAGCCAGATTGTGAATTCCGGGAGGGGGGTCTAAATAATGTTGGACCCTCTTTACACCACCCCCCCCGCTGAGTGGAACCAATCAGCGGGACCCTCTTTAAGCGAGATCCTGGGGGTCTGGGGAGGGACAGTATTTACTTTAGTATTGCCAATTCTACTTTAGTATTGCCAAGGCTGACCCTCAGATTCCCAGTACTTATTTTAGCATTGCCAGTTCTACTTTAGTATTGCCAAGGCTGACACTCAGATTCCCAGTACTTACTTTAGTATTTGCCAATTCTACTTTAGTATTGCGAAGGCTGACTTTCAGATTCCCAGTGCTTACTTTAGCATTGCCAAATCTACTTTAGTATTGTCAAGGCTGACACTCAGATTCCCAGTGCTTGCTTTAGTAAGCCTCCGAAGAAATATGCGCCAAACAAACTTGGCAAAGAAATCCTGCAAACAAAAACAGCAAACAAATCCGGGCAAACATATTATTTGAAGTGGTCCCCAAGCCATCAAATTTAAGATAACTTCCTTACAAAAAAGTGCGGGCAAACAGTCACACAAAGGGGGGTGCCCACAAGGGGCCCTGAGCCTCTTTAAATGTGACTGTTTTGGGGCCCTCTTTAGTGTCTAACCTGTTTGGGGGATGCTGAACAAACGGTCCTTGGCAATACTAAAGTAGAATTGGCAATGCTAGCGTAGGTACTGGGAATCTGAGAGTCAGCCTTGGCAATACTAAAGTAGAAGTGGCAATGCTAAAACAAGTACTGGGAATCTGAGGGTCAGCCTTGGCAATACTAAAGTAGAATTGGCTACAAACTCATGAAAGGCTAAACCAGATCCTGGCACCAGATCCTGACCTAGGTCCAAGGCGGCCCACATCGCCCACATCAAACGAAACTCAGACAAAACACATGTTTTTTGTTGAATTTTTCGGGGAAACGATTGCTGCAATTGAGGACCCCAAAACAGTTACAAGATCCTGAAATGCGAAAACATGCTACAACAGAGGGGACTATTAAAAAAGGAGGTGTAACATTATTCTGTTCCGGGATGGGTTTGCTAAACATGAGGTCAACATTACGGCAAAACCGTTTTTTCTCCACATTCCCTAATAGCGTAAGGCTTGCCTTCAAGGTTTCAGGGCGACTCGAGATGGGCATCATCCATGCCGGTGAGAAAATCCGGTTCCAGGGTTTGGATGTGACTTCTCGACCCTTGACTTGGGGATCCCTTGCAAGTTTTGACTTAGATGCGCCACAAAAGGCCTCCTTTTCTTGTTACTAGGGACGGGCCATGCATTTTATGGGGTTTTCCTTCATAAAGAAAGTACCAAGGGACATCTCAGTCGATCGATTTCTAAGTGCTCCTCCCAGTCGGACTTTTGATTGGATAGAGCAGATCTGGGCGTGCCTCAACCCGCGCCCAAAAACAAAATAAATAAATACAAATATATAAAATAGAAAGACACAGAAGAATATGAACAAACGTAACCAAAACGAAACACAAACAAGACTCCTGCTTTCTCTTTTGGCTTCCCTTTGGAGATAGCCCGCATGTACAGGGTAGCCTTAAAACAACAGACCCCTTTTGAGCCATGGTCATGGAAGCTCAATATTTGTTCTCTCCGGGCCCGGCACGTGCGAAAACTCTCAAGCCTGTATCGCAAGGCGGCAGGTGCATAGCTTTTCGTGAGAGCAAATGATGGAAGCGCATGATTGCTCCCGAGAGCTTAGAGCCACTGGCTAGCTTTCATGGCCATTTCACGGGGGGGACGGGTGAGCCAAGCGGAGCACCCAAGTTGTTCTGTCCGGTGAGGGGTTGAGGTGCTGTCGATTTCGGCCCTAGACTGGGCGGTTTTGAGGGTGCCGGCGCAGTGTTGAGATGAAGCTGCCGTCGAACTGTGCCGAGCTGGACGGTGCAATTGAGTAGTTATGATGCAAACACATGCAGCTTGAGCACAGAGCAGAAGCACATAATAGTTTCAACCAAAGCACCATGTAGCGGAAGCGCATGCAATACAAGACACGATTTGACAGGTTAGCAGCTTGCATCAGCGTCAGGATAGCACAACAGACATGTAATGCACTTGTTGCGAATTGCGCTGCTATGCATCACTTGATCGTGATATTTGCCTTGCAACGCACAACCAACAGCACCGCGATATGTACTGCTTAGTTCGATGCGCTTTACCACACCACTTACCACGCTGCAACTATGCGACACACTGCAATACAAAGCAATGTGAGACAGGTACGGGTGTGAACATGTGATTGTAGCCGGGAATTCCGTCGGAAATTCTGCTGAACCATTCGAATGACGGATCCATGGGTTTAGCAGGCTTGGCCATGGTGTGAAGGCAGGTTGCACCCCGCGTGTGGTGCTTGCCGTGCCTTGGTGCGTTGCGGGTTTGGTTCTTGAGGCAGCTTTCACGTTGGCAAACGTCCAACTTGTGCTTCTCGCGAGCTTTGGGGTCACAGCAGCCCATCCGACTTGAAGTCTGCTTTGCACCATTTGCCAGATGAGTTTGCCCGAGCTGTTTTATGGCAATCCTTAATCCTTGGGGTACGAAGGGCCCCCCCGCTTGTAATTATCGGGTTCCCTAGGGGTGTTCTTCATTCGGCTTGTCCAGCACCATTTTGAACAGCCCAGATTGACGACGCAGGGGCTAGTCTGCAATGCAATTTAGCAAAGCTGGATTGCCATGCTCTCTGTTTCGAGGTCCCTTTTCCCACAACCCAACAAAGAAAGTATTTGGGTGAATCTTGAGCTCGAGGGAACCTTCTTCGGGGTGTTTAAGACATTTAGGAGTTTAGAGATGAACCAATCGACTGATGTTTCTTCCCCATGCTTCCCCTAGATCCAACCGCTCGGGTCTTTGGGGTGTGTTCCAAGCGCATTTCCCGAGGTAGCATCACCTTTTCGCCGCCACTTTGCGCCGGGTTTCCCTGTGCTCAATGAGCTTAATATTCCCAGGGGTTCGCGGAGTGCTATTAATGGGCAACATTCCGCACCAGTTGGGTGGGTTGCCCCGCTATTCAATAGGCGTTCCATCCATTTTTCTGAGCTTCACTGTTCTTGGCAAGTTCTTTGTTGTTTTGGGTTCCGTGCATTTTTTGTAGGTGGCTGCAAGAACCAAAGTTGTTGGCTACCAGAAGGGTTGCGAAGCTCGCCTTTGGCGCCATGCCATGCTGTCCCCCGCGCCGACGGAGCTGGATTCCGCACCTCGGACGGACGTGGAGTTGCCGGGTTTCCTTTGAACTGATCCCCGAGGGGGGGGGGGGGGCAAAGCTTGGTGCGATAGGTAGGGAATGTGGGAATGAATCCAGGCTTTGGTCCCCTAGGAAACCACAAGTTCTTGGGGTCATTCCCCCATTCCCTACTGAGCACCAGCAAGAAGAGGATATGTTTGTGACGTGACAAAGAGGGCGGGTCAAAAGGATCGGCACACTTTGCTGTACCACCGCTTTGTGTCAGCCACACCTTCAGAAATCCAATGTCCCAAACTCTGAAAGGGGTCAAAAGGAGTCGTCCCAACTGATTGTGAAATCCTCAAAATTGCGGACTCTAAAATTGTCTTTGTGGGGGGGGGAAGCCAGCGGGGCCCAAGTTTTGAAATAATGCAACCGCTTGAAGGACCTAGGTTCAGGGGGCCCATGGCAGGAAATGAGCCAGTCGTAGGTTTCTTCGGCTCCAGGCGCTGGTGAGTCAAGGGGGGTTCGCTGATGTGTTCATCGGCTGGTTCGCACATGTCGGGCATGAGTCGCCGATTTCGGCTGAGGACTCGGACGCCAAGCCAGCGGAGCCGGTCCCGGTGGATTCGGACAGCGATGCGGAGCTTGTGCTGCCACCGCAGCGAGAAGCATCCCGAAGGAATTGGCAGTTTTATCCAGGCCATGCTGCATCCCAGAAGGGGGACCACAAGGATCCGCGAAACAGAAGAATCACTCCTATACCTGGACACCTATTTCATCTACCCGTTAATCAATCCCGGATCGCAATGTGTGTTGTAAGGGGGGCTACGAAGAGGCCCACCTAGTACTAGCCCCTTTTGAAAGGGGAACCTGGATGGCCCAGAAATACTCACCAACTTGAACTTAGTTGCAGTCCACGACAGGGAGCCATGGGAGCCATGCGCGCCTGCTTTTTTGCCTGACATGGCGGAGCCAGTTTCAATCATTGAATCTGGCAGCAATCAGGGCTCCCGATATTTCCACCTTTTTGACTTTTTAACCATATGCAGGAAACCCTAGCAACGCCTTTTCCATGCACTACGTGCGCGTTCAATGAACAAGGTGCTCCCTCACTGAAAAGACGGCTATGACATTTAGTAGGGAACCACCTCAAAAGTGGTTGGCTGTTGGACCTGAATCCTCACCTGGATGATGTCTGAGGTGGCAGCTCCTGCGACAGGTCGACAGACCTCTCTCTTGCACTGGGCAGGTGGGCAGTCGGGGCGGCTCGGCTCGAAATGAACTTGGATTTGATTTCCGGGCACTCTTATAGGAGCGTTCCACGTGGGCCTTCTTTGAAACCACCCCAATGAGACTGGATACCTGAAAAAAATAGATACACGCTAGCGCATACAGTTAAAACTCCCTAGCCATGTTGTCATGGTTCTTTTGGTCGGAAGTACAACGACTGCCACCCGCATCAATCAGAGGCGTCTTCCCTGGCAAATTTGTCCACGTAACGGTCCATTTACAGGGTCCCGATTCCGCAGTGCACATCATATTTGCTTCAAACTACGCTAGCTTAGGGTAGACCAGCATGACACCGAATTGCAAGTACCCCGTGCTGGCCAAGATATGTTTTGGTCATGCTTCAAAGAACATGTCAAGATCCTCGGCGGGTTACGGCCTTTCTCATGATGTCCTCAAACACCGGGGATTTGCTCCAGTTACAAATCGCTGCGAGCCGCAGCGATTCGGCCGTGACCCTCTGGGCCGCCAAGCAACGGACCCTTCTCCTAACAGATGTTCACGGACTGTGGGAAGGGAGCCGGGGGGGGGGGGTGATGTAGATCACTTTTTGCGATGCCTTGGCGATTGTAACCACTTTGTAGAGGAGCATCATTGAATACGCTGTCGAATGTGTCTGGGCTCCCTGTAGTGGATGGTTTTGTCATCCCCCACCCACCAAGAAATGCACGGAGAATGGGGGGTGGGCGACCCAAATACAAGACAATTCCCCATACATGTTGATTTTGTGGGTGCACCGGAATAACCAACTTGGATGCTTCAGGAGGTCTAAAGACTACTTTTGAGGGTATGCCCTTTTCGCCAAAAATGCAAAGGGCAGCTGTATGTAATTGTCACGTTTCAATCATCTAGGGAGCGCTTTGAGGATGTCACTGCAAACGGCAGTTGGAGCCATTGGACCAGTTTGGCAAACCAAGATGGCACCTGTTCGGCGACACATTTTGCGAATCAGGTGTGCATAGGATCCCTGGCCTGGAAAAAGTGAAAGCCTTTTTCTGGTGTCTCCTCCAAACCATTTGAGTATTTTAGTTTGTTGCTTCTTCTTTTTTGCGACAGACGAAATATGAACCAGAAACTGAGCAACCAAAATGTGTGTACCCCAGATGTGCGCGCGGCGCTTCCCAGGAAGAAGCCCAAGCTGGGCTCGGTGGAGATGCGGAAGCGCCGCAAGGAGCGGCGGGAGCTCGCGGCGGATTTGCGCGCCGGCGTGCTGCCGTTGCCGCCTCCAGTGGTGGGCTACGATGTCCAGGTTCGGCGAAATCGCCTTTTCCTCGCGTGGCGTGAGCGAAGTCCGCGCCCCAGTCAAGAGCCCTTTGGGGTACGTGGGGGGGTCTTCAACTCCTTTTGACCATTCTGGACAACCAAGGTAAGGGTTGCTAAGTCAGATGTGAATCCACATGTTGTTGATATGTCCTGAAAGACGCCAAGCTGACAAAAGGTCTTCTGGACGCTGCGCATCGAAAAGCATTCATCACTCCCCTATTTCCAGACTGTGCCGTACAAAAAGTGGGATCAGTCTTTGATTGCCTAGATCTTAATTCGGCATTTTTTTTTGCCGAAGCTCTTGGCGGCGGAAATCTCCGCCGATTTCCCGCCAAAGTCTGCCGATTTCGCGCCGAATTTCTCGGAGGTGCCATCACGCTTTCGGGGAAGAAAGTACGCTGTATCAAAAACACCCACAAGTGACAAACACATCGAAATTCAAAACACGTCGAAAGGGCGCCCTTTTGCAAAAAGGCAACAAGCCGCTTCTTCTTTTGTCTAAGAATGTGACAGCCATTAATGCTGTCCATGGTTTGGCAGATTCATGGGGGAGTGGTGCAGCGCCCGAAAGTCGATCCCCTTTGAACCCTGCGGCATTCGACCTGTCCATGCCTTCGACTCCATCAGGCGGCTCGTTGCCCATGGTTCGCTTTGCCCCCGCGGCGTGTCGCGAAGTTGATGCGTGACATGTCACATCTAGCCCGTGCCATGTGGGCGTGCCTAGATGTTGGAAGACCTCAAAATGGGGCAATGGTTTCCTTTTGGTTTCCCTTCACCACTCCAAAAGGGGCATCAACTCCAAAAAATGGGGGGCATGTCGGTTATGTAATTATTTCCAGCCGGCTTTGTTTGGGATTGAACTGGCAAGATCTGGCAAGCCTTGCCAGGTGGAAAGGCTTTGCTCGTCGCACAAAGTCGCAGACCTGGAGCGGAGCGGGAAGTTGTTTTACAGACTCCCCGCAAATTAAGGAGCACCTAAAAGGATATTTCCTCTACAAATGAGGGTTATCGGGGTTCCATTTTAGTTTGCACTGGAGTAATTTTAGCCATCGATCACAAAGTTCACCTGTTTTGTGCCGGTTCGCAGTGACGGGGCCGACTGTCTTCAGGTGACAGCTCCCTCCCACCCCCCCCCCCCCTCCCCAGCTGGTGGCGTGGGGACTTGAACCGCTTGTGAACCGCTCTGTGCAGGGTAATGAAGCCTTATTGAGGGGATTCTGGTTGTCAGTTTCCTTGTTTTTGTTGCTTCATTCTTTGATTGACTTTGTATGTTTCTTTGTTGTTTTGTTTGCTTGTCGGTTGTTGGGTTGGGGTTCTTGGAAGACCATGTTCCTTTCAAGGCACTCCCCTGCGCAGGGTTCTTGCTTTTGGGAAGCTACTGTTTGAAAAGGTCAAAACCAGTGAACCCCAAACAGGATCAAGCAGGCTTCCATTTGCTTCTTATAATATTTGTTTGTTTTCCTGACTTTTTCGGGAATATACCACTGGACATACGTTTACTTGAGCAAATGGCTGGGGTTTCCCCCCGTTTCCTACCCCCCTGGGCCACTGAGCGTAGGAGCTCTTCTTCCCGCGCGCGCCGCTGGCGTCGCAGCTGCAGCTCATGTCCGCGGCGTGCGTGGCGCTCGGCGATCCGCGGCCGCGGGCGGCCTTGCTGGAGAGCCCCACGGGCACCGGCGCCTCGATTCGAATGGACCCGGGCCACGAGTTGATGAGAAGGTCCGTTGTGGGTGACCATTGGGGCACGGAAGCCACTCACAAGATGAGGTGGTTTTTTAAACATGGTTGGGACACATTCTGTCCAATTTGCTGATGGTGGTTTAGTGGTCGAAATTCCCACTGAACTGCTAAGACTTTTTGTTTGCTCTCCTTCCAACGTCAACCAAGGCAAGTTGTATGGGGTGACCATTGGGGAAAAGAAAAGTCACTCACAAGATGATATCTCACTAAATGGGAAAAGTTGCCCATGGAGGACATTTGGGGGTCCTAAATAGAATATTGATCAATCACCATCTGAGTTTCATGAATCCGCCGGACAGAGGGAGGTGTTATTTTCCTTGGTTCTCAAGGACTCGACAGTTTTAAGAAAGTTTCGGATGGATCGGCTGGACAGAGGGAGGTGTTATTTTCCTCTATTTTTCTTTGGTCAAGGAATCGACGGTTTTGGGAATGAAGTGGAAGGGGATTGCTTAGAGGAAGCCGCCGAATGTTGGTTGAAGCCAGCCAACAGGAGTCCACAATTTTGCGACAAGCCCGACTTGGCTTTGGGCAAGTTGGGTGGGTGTTATGAAAGAAGAGACCCCCCCGAAAGAGGTGAACAGTGAAGAAAAAGGCAAAACCATATTTTGCTCCTTGTTTTGCCCTCCGCTTTGCGTTTGAGTTGCTTGCGTTACACGACCACGAGGCTTGGATGGCTTGGGGCTCGAGGCTTGTGAGGTGGCAGCTGGAGAAACATGTTGCCCATGGCAGCCAAACCCATGGCCCTTGGCAGGCAAGACATTGGCGTTGCTGAGCTCCGTGCTGGCTTTTCAGCAGAAGTGCTTCAGGTCTTGGCAGGAGCAGCTTGGCAAGCAACGTCTTCAGCCAGTTCCTTGCAGTGTTTGCATACTCTCCCCTCGGTTGCATCCCTTGAATTCCTTCTTACTTGGTGTCCCGACTAGGTAAAATGCTCAACCCCAAAGAGATCCCCTTTCTTGCCAGCAAGTGGGATGACACGTCGACCCGCATGTCTAGATCCTGTGCATTTTTGACCCCCAATCCCAGGGCCCGAAAAACCCGAGCCAGCCCCAAAACGACCTCCGATCGGGTCCCGAGAAACGGGCGCGAAGAACATCGGGTCCAAGCGATTCGCCAGGGGCGGTGGAGTCCTTCCACCCGCCCCAGCCATCAAGAGCATGAGGCCGGAGTCGGGTTGAGCCCTTGGAGCCCATGGCCGGTGGCCAGGTCGAGGGAGGGGCCGATTTTGTGGGACGCGAGAAAAGCCAAGAGGTGTCCAGATGTTTCCAGTTGGTTGTCTGCAAACCGATTTTCAGATAGGGGCGTTGAATCGGAAATTAGACATATGGGCATGAGTCAAAATTAAACCACTAGGGGACCGCAGGTTTTAGTCTCTGTTTGCATTTGCCAGGGTCCCATTTGGGGTACCTATATGTACCTATGTTGAACCCACACCGACCTGGCCAAGCTGTCGAGATCTCAACCACCGGATTCCTGGCAAGTCAGGCCCGGCGAGGAACTCACGACGCCAGTGCCACGGGTGGTGTGGATTGCGCGCACCCACGACCAGCTGCTTGGCTGGCCCAGGTTGGGAGGGGTTGGTTTGCACAGTCCCTTTTTTTTGAGGGGGAAGGGCCTGTTCTTGGGTTGGCTCAAACTGGTGAAAGGCCACGATGTTTTGTGTCCGACAGTGTGAGACATGTTTGCTAGCTTTTCAGCAAGAGCTTGAGCTCGACTGCCCAAAGCATATCGACTTGTTTGCCTTTTGGTTCCCTTCTTTGGCCAATGTTTAGTTAGCCGTTTTTTTTTTGCGGTTGAATGAGTTTCTTTTGGGCATTTTGGAAAGCACTTTTTGCAGGGGGCTCAACAGAAAGCATCTCCTTTGCTCTTGTGCTTTGGGGGTCGGGCGGCATTGGACGTTTGGGCATAGTGTTTCTTTTGGGGGTACCCTTTTTAGGTTGGTTCAAGGGAAGCCAACGGAAAAACACCAGTTTGGCTGTACCGCTATTTTGACATATACCTACATAAATTGTTGCAGGTTTTGCTGTGCCAATTCAAATGGGCTTTTCTTGGAGAGGCTGGAAGCGAGAAACACGTGTCCAACAAGAGTGTTGTATTATCCATGGCATGCCCCGGCGAAAATGTGATTGCTGGTAATTCGGCGATGGCAATTTGTAATTGGCATAACTTCCTACATAGTGTTTGGGTTCCACGGAAACCTTTGGAGGAATCGTTTCTCAACCCAGCCATGGCTTCACCACTGGAGGCTGGGTATGGCCGGCGATGTTGTCCTTAAAACCACCCCAACAGTGGTATCCAACAAGAACAGCCGATGTTTGTTCGGAGGCAAGCCTGGTAGTGCGCAAGATGTGGCGGTAGTATGCGACGGCAGTGCGCTAGTGCGGTCTTTGTCCGACTTAGTCTGACTTTCAGTCAGACAAAGTTTCTGAGTTTTCACATGGGACATTGGATGATTGCTTGATTGCTTGCTGGTTGCTGAATCGCACAGGAGACTAAAAGGGAAGTAGCTGCAACTCTCCCGAGCCTCTACTTGACTCCTGGAATTTTCGAATTGCAGACACTCTTGGCTCAAATCAAACCGCGCATTGAATTTCGGGACATGACGAAGCTCTTGGCCCTCCTGGTGCTGCCTGCGCTGGCGCAGAAGCGTCATGCGACGGTGGTGGGCGGTGATCTTGTGAAAGGCCCAGCTGGTCGCTGGGAGAAATGTCCCTTCCCAGTATGGAACGGGAAAGTATTTACTGGGCCCTCGAGTATCTCCTGGTCATGGTGCACCTGCTTTGATCGGGGTCGCTCAGTTTGTTCCTGTTGCCGAACCCTGTGGCTGTTTCGGGGTTCGCTTCAATAGAAAGTTAATTGCCCCAAAGAATATTATCCGGAAACCCATTCCAGATCAAACTCTCGTATGATATACTTTTTTCAAGGGGGGCTTATCAAAGCCCTTCCCAGCTCAGAGGACACAGGCCTCAGATCCAAGAATTCCTGTTTTGCAGAGGTTCCCAACCCATGTGAAAAAAATAAAAAAAAATACACCAGCATAGACCCCAGATAGCACACTACGGCTACGAACCATGGCGCAGCATCACAATGATTCCGGCGGCATCATGCTGATGTTGACAACATCTTGATGATGTTGACAGCATCATGAGGATACCACAGCTACTCAGCATAGTGCGCTAGATAGACACGCAGACAACGTCCTAGTGAGTTCAGCGTTGACCGGATGATGCTGATACACCAGCCACGAACGATTCCACGCTACATATCTAGCAGAAAAAAAGGCAGAGACGACGTCCTGATGAGTTCGACAGCATCATGATGATGCGGACAGCATCATGATGATGCTCACAGCATCATGGTGATGGTAAAAACAGCATCATGATGATACCACAGCCACGAATCATCTTGCGACAGTGTAATGAAATCAGCATCATGACGCGGTTGACAACATCATGATGACACACCAGCGGCCAGCATCATGAACGATACCCCAAACAGCACCCGCCCTACCACCCTGCCATCCATATGCGCCCGCACCGTCACCAACATTCCAAAACAACCGCCCCAACAGCACCCCAACGCAGCACACGCGCCAGCGCCGGACACGTCCCCCCCAAGCACCCTGCCGTCACGTACTGTCACCAGCACCTCAACCGAACAGCACCCCAAAACCGCACCTGCGCCAGTACCCCAAAGTGCATGCCCCCCCAGCTCCCAGCCGTCGATCTTGCAAAACAATTCCCCTTCTTCATTAGAAGTTAGCACCCCTATGGTTTCCAGCTATCTGGGAAATAAGCGCCCACGCGGTCAGCAGCACCTCCAACAGCAACCCAAAAAGGCACCTGCACCACCGCCCCAAACTGCATGCCCCCTAGCACCCGCCGGTAATGTCCGAACATTGCGTCAGCAGCACCTCAAACAGCACCCCAAAACAGCTGCATCAGCTCCCCAAACTGCATGCGGCCATCAATCTTGCACGAATGCGCCTGCGCCATCACCAGCACCCCAAACAGCACCCCAAACTGCATGCCCACTAGCACCCGGCCATCAAGCTCGCGAAACAGCACCTCCACTAGCACCCCAAATTACATGCCCCCTAGCACCCGGCCGTCAATCTCGCAAAGCGGCACCTCCGCCAGCACTCCAAACTGCATGCCCCCTAGCACCCGGCCGTCAAGCTCGCAAAATAGCACCTCCACCAACACCCCAAACTGCATGCCCCCTAGCACCCGGCCGTCAATCTCGCAAAGCAGCACCTCCACCAATGCCTGAAACTGCATGCCCCCTAGCACCCGGCCATCAATCTGGCAAAGCGGCACCTCCACCAATGCCTCAACTGCATGCCCCCTAGCACCCGGCCGTCAATCTCGCAAAGCGGCACCTCCACCAGCACTCCAAACTGCATGCCCCCTAGCACCCGGCCGTCAAGCTCGCAAAACAGCACCTCCACCAGCACCCCAAACTGCATGCCCCCCAGCACCCGGCCCTCAATCTCGCAAATCACTTTCCCTTCTTTATTAGAAGTTAGAACCCCTATAGCTTTCAGCTATCTGGGGAAAAAACATGAATTATAATGCATTCCTGATTCAAAAAGCAAGACCAGAAAAACCTTTGTGGCCAGGCGCCGGCAAAATGACCCACGGGGGCAAGTTGCACCACTATGCCGGAGTTCTCCAGGCGCCTTGGCCTCGCGTGAGGAAGGGCGTGCGAGGGGTCTTACTTTTATGTCATGTCTTTTTTTTTTGGGGGGGGGTGGGGGGGCAAAGGTCCGAGGGATATACTCCTGACGGAATCTCCGATTTCAAGCCTGGGAGAAACCCAGCTCACCAATGTAGGGCCTGGTGCTTGTTCCTGGAGGGCCAATTGATACAGAAAAAAGTGCTCAATTGCACTTTCGGAGTTCGAGCGCTTTTTTTCTGCCCGATTGGAAACGGACAGTTTTGAAGACGGCTTGGCCCGAAATGCGCACCGCGTTTCGAGCGCAATTCGGCGCAACTTCGGGCGCAATTTCGCGCAACTCGGGCGCAAATCCGCGCAACCGAGCGCAATTTCAACAACTGCCCAAATTCTGGTCACTACACTAGCGCCAAGTCGCTGGCTCCCAGAAACGTTTCGGGCACTTTTTGTGCCAACCACATTCGAGCACAATTTCTTTATCAATTGGGCCTCCAGGTTTTCTGGCTTTGGAACTGCCTAGATAGCCAAGTTGCTGTTTTTTCAGTCACTGTTGCTGGTTCTTGGGGTAAAGTGGATGAAACAAATACATCAACTGGCGATCCAGGTATGATTTAGATGGGCGCGGGAAACACCCAGGCAATGAACCCAGCCCTGGGCAAGTCGGAGATGGTTTTGGAGTGCTGCGGGGAGTCCGCGTCCCTGGCTTCGACCGTCGCCTTGGGCATCAACACCAACCAGCTCACAGGGGATGTGAAGGCAGATGTGTTTTGCATGTTTCAAGGGTTGGCGGAGAAATGGGTGAACCATTATTCAACGACCAGACCCGGTGACAGAAATCGGATTCATGTGATTTAGACATCACGTATATGTGTACCATATAATCCCCCCGTTTATGAAGTGTTTAGATAAGAGGTTGGCGTCATTTCCCGGATCAATTCGACTTGATTGACATCCGTACGGCTTTGCGTCTACAAATGTGCCGACTACCCACCCAAAAGGAGTTCCTGTAGCTTTTCCTGATTTGTTGGACTTCCAAGTTGATTTCCTTTGCATTCTCGCTGTTTCAACCAACCAAGAAAAACACACCCCTTTCAAGAAGTGCACCACAGACATCCATTGCTTTGTGGAAAGCCATGTTAGCAATGCGTGCGTGGTCAAACGCAGTGTCAGTGCTTGCTCGCGGTTCCGGTGGTTTGAGCACCATGTGGGGTCAAATGCAGTTGAGTTTCCTGGAGCTGGACCGGAACCTTGCTGCTGAAAAGCCGTGCCCAACGACACTAAATGACAATCGGTATTTCCTAAACTAGGGCACGCCAACACTGGCTGATTTTCCTGTTGGTTGCTAAAAATCACCGCCAAAAGGAGGTCCCATTCTGTTCGGCACCTCTCCAAATGGACCAGCTCCTGCATCAACCATTTGGGCAACAAAGTGATAAAGTAGTCATGGCAAATACTGACTGGGACTGAAAGGGTTACCCTCCAACCAATAAGCACGCAAGACGACCTTCCTGCTGGAAACGGGGCCTGTGAGTGAATTTCCATGTTGGGAGGGAATTCGGTGGGAACCAGGAGAGCATCGTGCCAGAGTTCACCGGAAAGAACATGTGCACCGAGAAGGACGGCGATCATCACACCGCTAGCGAGAAGTGCAGCTACGTCTATGCCTTTCAGCCCCGGGGCAGCAGCGATGGCCGTAGCAAACTCAGACACCAAACGGAGAGAAAGCACGGTGTTTTCCAATTTTTAGGACACTTGCGGACGGATAGCGCTTGATTTGTTCGCGATGGCGTAGTCAAAGCATGATAATCTCAGTTTTATGTACAACTGCGATATAAAGACGGTGATGCGTTTCTTGGTGCCAGAGGGTCATT